AGGCAGGCGCTTTTGCCGCTGAGCTAAATCCCCAGCCCCCCTTTTACCTTTTTAATAAGCACTGGAAAATTTTTACATTAGTAATGCTCTTTTGAATTACTAATTTACATTATACCTATTTCCTGATGATTATATAATTACTATTCTTTCTCCTTGATTTAGCTTCCTGTTGCTGCTGTTATATGTTACCAAAAACTTAGTAATTTTTTTTTTTCAATTATCTTTCATTGTTTCAGCCTCATTTATTTATTTATTTATTTCAGTACGGGGAATCGAACTCAGGACCTTGCCCTTGCCAGGCAGACACTTGTGCCACTGAGCTATATCCCCGGCCCCAAAACTTAGTAATTTAAAACAACAGAAATTTACTGCAAGCTAGGTGTGGTGGTACACGCCTGTAATCCCACCACTCGGGAGGCTGAGCCAGGGGGATCGTTGCGAGTTCAAGGCCAGCCTGGGCCACAAAGTGAGCTCAAGTCCAGCCTGAACTGTGTCGTGAGACCCTGTCTGAAAAAGACAAAAAAAAAAGAAATTTATTATCTTATAGTTCTGGATATCAGTTCTAATACCAAGACTTTGGCAGGACTATATTCTTTCTAGAGGCTGGGGGTATCTATTTCCTTTGAGTTCCTAGTTTCTGAGGCCATCTGTGTATCTTGGCTAATGGCCTCAAAGTTTGTCTTTGAATCCTGCAGTATAGCACCTCTCTCTCTCTGTCTCTGTCTCCTGATAAAAACTTTTGCGATTACGTTGGGCCCAAAAGTATAATCTCTTGCTATAATTCCACCAAGGCTCGTCCCTGCAGAACACATACTGAGGCTGGGCCTCCCTGCGGCAGTGTGAGGTGGTGGGGCCCGACGTGAGGTGTTTGGACCACGGGGTCAGAGCTCTCGTGCATGTTTGCCTTTCTCACAGGAATAGGTTATCACGGAGCTTGGCCCCTTCTCTATTTGCACATGTCCACTTGTTCTTCTCTTTCCCACCAAACACTAATGACATCAGGTGACGCCGTTGCCAGACAAGGCTCTCAGCCCTGAACTTTCCAGCCACCAAAACTGTGCTTGCGCTAAATAAACCTCTTTTCTCTGAAAATACTCGGTCTCGTGTACTGTACCACAAAAAATAGACCAAGACTTCTCCCATCTCAAGATCCTTAACTAAATCTATGTCACAGGTGTAAAGTCCTTCTTACCATATAAATAATATTGACAGGCTCCTAGGGATTAGGATTTCACAGTCAGTTTAATAAGCACTATTCTTATTGTTGCTGTCACCGTTGCCATTACTACCACTGTATAAAACGTGACGGTACACCAGGAGCTAGACACTGCTAGCCTGCTTTATGTTAAAATTTGCCCCGATGCCAAGTACTAAAATTATATAAAAAACTTAGTGAGACCCTGTCTCAAATATATAAAAAAAAGGGCTGGGGGTGTAGTTCTCAGGTAGAGCATGTGCCCACGATGTGCCCTGGGTTCAATGCCCAGTACTGTAAAATAAAACAAAACTCTCTTGAACACTTTTGTAACTAAGCCATGGCTTTCTGAGAAGTAAATGAGAGTAATTTATCACAAAATTGAGTAATAATTCACAAAAATCTCTATTTTCATCCCTGTCTAGCAGTGACTTACATTATGCCTACAAGTTAATTTTAAGACTGCAAAAATTGTAATTTTAGAAAAATGCAGTCCTACATCTGTAGTCACATGGGTAGAAATCTGCATTTAGGAGGAATTCAGCTATACTACGCATGACTAGAACAAAAGTTTATAGAGAACTGAGTTCAATAGCTTAACACCTCGAGACCAATACTAATTAGCTTTATGACTGTTACCTGTAAATGGAAGTTAACTGCGCCCAGCTTAGAAAGCAAGACTTAAACTCTTGAACAAGATACTGCAAAATATTGAACCTTCAAGCGGAATTTTTTTTGGTCAGAAATGTCTGGGTTAATAACCAAATTCCGTAACTGCTGCTCAAAATACAATTCATAAACTGATGATTGCACAAAAATTTATTTATATTGGGGCTGGGGATTTAGCTCAGCGGCAAAGCGCCTGCCTGGCAAGCGCAAGGTCGTGAGTTCGGTTCCCGGTACCAGAGAAAAACCAAAAAAAAAAAAAAAATTATTTATATTGGAATACATTAGCATGTAGACCGGTGGCACTCCTGTATGTGCCCTTGCCACTGCTTTTTTAAAAGACAGCCCTTAATGTTCTGTGGAACATTTAGAAATGCAATTCTATTGTATCTAACACAGGACCTACCAAAAGATAATTGAGCATTTAAGACTGCTGAGCATCAGAAGGGTTAGAAGCTCTTGAACATTTGTTTGAGCCTGTTAGCTAATGTATGGTCATTCTAAAATTGGATATAATTAAGGAGCTACACCTAGTTATAAATTATTTAAACTCAAACACAGGAAGTCTAACCTGGTGGTTCCCAGCCTAATTGGATCTCAGCAGCTTATGGGAACTACCATAGGAGTCTATTAATCCATTTGAGCCCCAGTGCCGATATCCCACATACCAAATGTAAATAAATATTATGTGGTTCTAATGAGTAATACGATTTTGCTTTAAAAATCATTGCATTCATAGTCTTTTGGTTATTCTGCACTTATTAGACGCTTAAGTATAGTAAGTCCTGTCATGAAGGTCTGTAAAATTCTGGTTGGACACTGCTCCACTAGCTTGAAGAATTTAGCAAGAATTCATGAAACATTTCTAATACACATTTTAATTCTGGTACAACTAACCACTTGAATATCTTCTGGAATATTTGTGCAGAATTGTTAGATGACAGCTCTTTAAAAGCTTTAAGCAATAAAATATGACCAATTAATGATGCTGATGAAAACTTTCAGTAATGACAGCCTAAAACTAAGATTAGCAAGCTAAATAAGGTATAGAGCAAGCACAGCTTATTTCACTTCTTTAAATGAATTTATCTGCAAGGAGTGTGTAAAACAATAAACTGCATGAACCTATTTTTGGTTTTTTAGTTTTTTTGAGACCGGGTCTTGCCATGAAGCTCAAGCTGGCCTGGAACTTGTAAGAATCCTCCTGCCTCAGCCTCCCAAGTGCTGGGATTACAGGGCTGTGCCACATCTGGCAGGACCTACTTTTAAAACTCAACACTATCATAAGGAAAATGTATCTGACTCTTAATTTGTAAATAAATACAAGTTGTTTGCATAGAACTTTACTTTTTTTTTTTTGCATTGTAGGGTCTCAAAGTCTTTGCTTGAGGGTCTCAATTTTTTTTTTACATCTACTTCGAAGAAAACTCTGCAAGGTTATGGCAAGAGCATTAGAGTTTATGTATCACAGTTAAATTGTTTTTAAAAATCAGAGTAATCAGTGATTAGTGTGGGGTACATTCTATAAAAGTGCCATGCAAATGCTTTGCTGGATTTCAATTAAGGAAAACAAGAAACATTTTACAGCCCTCTTACTATCCTTAATGGATGGTCACCTTCACTTAAACAGTGTTATTCTTACAGTACTGAACTGATGGTACGAAACTGGGTACTGAACGTATTTTTTTGTCATTTCCTTTTTTTGGTACCAGGAATCAAACTTTCCGGACCTTGTGTTTGCCAAGCAAGGGGCTGTGCTGCTGAGCTATATCCCCTGCTTTTTGTCATTTTCAAATGATGTAAAATAAAAATTCCTCTTTAAAAGTATCTCAGTACCTACTGATTATTTCTAAATAATAAACAGGTAACAGAGATGGATTTTTGATCCATAATTGTAACAGATCCAGTATTTGTATTCCCTGTGTAGCAGAAAATGCTATCCCAGCCTGTATACTTCAGTTGCCCAGGTGATAGTTCCTGTTCCAGTTCCGGTTGCTTGTCTCTTAGAAACAGCTGGTCGCTATGATGCACACTGTGAGAACCAATCCCCAGCTGACAAGCCATTCTGCCTCTGTACTTCCTGCTTGCTTGTCCCATATGAAGACCTAGACCACCAGAGATCAGGGCCGACATTTTGGGGAACAACTGAGTCCTAGCCAGTGCCAATCCCACATTAAATGGACCTGCCTTCAAATCCTGGCTGTCACTTCAGTGTGCCTGTTTGCCAAAGCATCTGCACATACCAAAACAAAGAAGTTGCTGCCCAAGGGTTCTACAACCCTGAAGCAGCTCAGTTTGGGACTTTTCCTAGAAATCTTAACCATAGTTTGAATGAAGGGTAAGTTTCAGGTTTCTGAAATGGGTTGAATTACAGCTATGCTGGCAGGAAGTACCAACCGCCTTTTTGTATGTTTTACATCGACACCACCATAAAATTTAGACTAACTTCACGGTTATCCTCACTTAGAAATGCACACAACTATTACAGGAACGCAGAACTCCTTAGGCTGAGGGGAAAGCTGCTCCCAACTAGTCAGATGACTTAGCCTGCTAACCTCTAAGGTGACCGAGAGCCTGTAATTCCTTTTCAAAATTGCCCTCACCTGGTTGAAGGGAACACACTGGGTCGTACCTTTTTCTACAGTTGTGTGAGAATATAAAACTTGTCCCTTTCCCCAAATACATATCCACAAAATAAAAATACTCCTCTCCGTGACTTTCAGTTCACTGCTACGGAACAGACTGCCTGTAGCTCCCCGGAGTAGAAGGGATTACGCAGCACGTCTGGCTAGGTCTGTTCCTTCAATCACACGTGCACTCACTCACCCGCCTGCCCACCGTCAGCCACCGTTTCCCCGTCAACGGTAAGGCGATCTGTTACCAGAAATGCACACAAAACACCAAGTTTTAAAGAATTACCGTAACTTTTATTTTTGCTTAGTTTTATTAAAAAAATAAATATGTCATAAAGCTTTTGTTTCCTTTAGGGAGAAAAATGGAACACTTTCATAAAGTCAAACAAGCGATGGTGAGATGCCTTGACGCGAAGGGATCGGCAATCACTGGGTTCGCACGTCGTAACTGAAAGAACAGCTGCCACAGTTGCCCGTTCCATGCCAATGGCAGCAAACAACAGGATCAACTAGGGCAAGAATAAATAACTCTGTGGAAGCCCCGTTAAGTGCTGAAACAGACGGATTCACTGGCACACCAGTACAGCTCTACCTTGCTTTAAACACAGAAATTCCTGAAAAGTTCTGGGTAATGACACAACCACACACATACTAAGAGACTTGGTATCGGACAGAATTCTGCGGTAAACTGTTTTGTGAACAACTACTTCCACTTTAGTAAATCCAGGTATCTGCTTTAAGTGAGTATATTCAGTTGCTACCTCTCTGACCGGAGGCAAAAGCACGTTCACCTAACCGTGCTCCAGCTGAGCCAGTGGCACAGTTTCTAAGTCTGTGTTTCTATGAAGTAAGTAGTGTAAGGTACAGAGTCAGCCAGGGCACCCAGCTGCATCTGGCAAAGCAGGCATGAGGGTGGGATTACCACCTTTAACAACAGTTTCAACCCAACGATTACTTCTGAGAATCTACTTTGTGCAAAGCATGTAATAAACCGCATCCATCTGGTTGAAGATGGACTTCCTTTCTCTAAAACCGTCAGTTAGGGGCTAGGTCTGGAACCCCGAAAGAAAGTAATACTGGACTTCTAATCTTTAAGACTGGCTTTAACCAAATTATCTGCCCAATTCCTTCAAACTAAGGTAGATGATACCGGAAAAGATTAAATTCCCCACGTTCAAAGTTTAACAGTACGAGAATCATGTTTTGTATGAATGGTAACTGAAAGATTTTGCTGATGACAAAGTTTTTCAAATTAAAAAAAAAAATCCTTCAACTTTCTCTAAACAGAACACTGAATTCCAAAGCAAACTGCAGAACAGTTAAAGTCACTGATGTTTTTTGATTGGGTGATGTATTTCAGTTCTACTGATAGAAAAAAATTTCTTTGCACCATCCCCCAAAATTTCATGAGCCCACCCTACATCAAAGCAGTGGTACTCTGAGCAGGAAATAGGCGTTGTAGTGTCAGATCCAGTCAGTTTCATCAGTGTAAGGAAACAGAACCCTCACTTTGCTCACAGCCTCTATGGGATACGGCCAAACTTCTAACAGACCCGAACAAACATTACATCAGTTAGGCTGTTAAGTTGTTCTTGCCTTTTTCTCAAATGCTTCTAATATTGCTGCCTATATGTACAAGTGTGAATGAAGAATATGCAGACTTTAGTCTTTCCCACACTGAGTACACTAACAACAATTAGTAAATAATCCAAGAGTAAGTGGTCATTTTAAAGCTTGTTTATCTTAAAAAAAAATTACACTTTCTAGCACTTAAAAAATTGGGTCTGAAAAGTGACCTATCGCCGTCCAACGCTGTTCCCCACCCAGCCCACCCATTCCAAACCTGCTACAAATGCTGGCGTGAGTCCGTTATCAAACAATTTAGCAGTACCAAGACTTTCAAATGGAAACAGTGTTACTGACTTCTTCATATTGGATAACAAAATAAGGGTAACTCTGGTCATCATTAAAAATGACAAAAATCTGAGGCTCAAAGAAATTATCCACACAAGAGTCATACAGGTCACTGGTGACGCTGCCAGGATTGACTGGAGGGGGCCTTCGCATGCCATGACTGCCCATTGTGTATCTGCCAGTCAGCACTTTGGCCAAAAACATGAAATGGACTCCTTTGGAGGACTTCTTAGAAAAGTTATGAGAGTAGCTTGCTTTCTTTGCAAAGTAACTGCCTTGTCCGAACATTGTAGCGTGCTTTCCACAGACTCGAGGATCAAAGTTGTGCTTGCAGATGCCGTCTACCACATCCTGGGATGTCCCATGAAATAAATGTCTCTCGTTTATTATTCTGTCACGGCCAAACATTTTCCTGTTCATATATTCCTTTTTCCTAAAGCAAAAGCAGATGGGGGGGCAATATTAAAGTAGGTATCAGAGGCAAAATGCTATCCAAGGTCATCCTGACAGTTTAAATTCATCCTCTGCATTCCACACACCCCTTCTCTTCCTTCTCCCCCACTACTCACTCGTCTTACTTTCACTATAAATCTATTCACCTTCCTCAGGATCCCTTCCTTCTCCTTGTCCAATTTCTCTGATCTGAACCGTTTCTAATTCTGAGATTCCTCAAATCCGAACTTACTCCCTTTGTACTACATTAATCTGTGCATCAGCAGGGTAGCGAGAGGAGTGAGAGAGAGCAGGGTATCTGGGGCCAAGCCGCCTGTGTTCAAATTCCAACACCTGATCTTCTTGGCAGCACGATTTATAGCAAGTTATCGAACTGTTCTAGGACTCAGTTTTCTTTCTATAAAATGTACATTGTTATAATTCTACTAACAGATCTGTTGTGAGGGTTACATGTGAGTTAATATGAACACATTCCATTCTATACAAGCATTTATCATGTTCTGCATTTGACATCAGCTACAGTAAGAAAAGCTCTTTTGAACTTTTCACACCTGTGACTCACCTTTTATATTTCTCCCAAAGAAACTGGTTTTGGACTCTCAATATTTGTAAAATTCTATATTTAAACTCAGGCACAGTCTTATGAAAAAGATTGTAAATGATTCGGTAACTTTTGTCCTCTGCAGAAACAGGCACTTGAATAAAGTCCTGAGATGGATGCATATAAACCCAAGTTTCAGGATAAAAGTTTGCTGAGGTGACGCCGTCAGGGCAGATGATTTGTGATGATGAAGTTGCTTCAAGAGGTGGAGGAGCCTGAGTGGGAACCCCACCAAGTGTCCTTAAAATGGAGAAGGAACATCAATGTAAGACGCTCAGAAGTACATTTCATGTTACAATGCTCTATTGAAATGTCCAATATAATCTGTGTAGTTTAAATGCCTGTTTAAAAATTCATTAAGAAAAAACCCCAGCTCAGATACTGCCTGTACACGAACAGCCTATTATTAGCTTCCTCCTACCCTCCTCCCTGCGGAGAAAACTCTGGAATGTACTGCTGCAAGGCAAGTGAGCAGGAGCCAATTTATAAATACCTTTACTTCTGAATCTGCCGACAGCCCTCACTGCCTATATAGTTCAAAACCTTTTTTCAAAGAAGCAATAATAATTTATACACTTTCTTCAAACTCTTCCTAAGCAGAAAAGATAAGTAAAGGTGTGTGGAATGGCAAAGTAGGGCAGATGGTAAAAAGGGAGTTTACAGGGAAAAATAAAAAAACTTACTTTTATTCCTATATAAAAAGAAACAAAAGTCATGAAGCAGGCATTAAAAGCAGACAAATACATGATATTTCCTTCACTTTCCATGACCAAAATATTAATACTATTCAAATTTTACAGATTTGTGTATGATTTCTGGGGGGGGCGGTGTACTGGGAATCGAACTCAGGACCTTGCACTTGTCAGGCTGGTGCTTGTGCCACTGAGGTACATCCCTGGCCTTGGGTGTGGTTAACTACTATAAACTCTGGACACCTGAATGCACATCGCTAAACTTTTAAATTCAGAAGTGTTACTTGGAGGTTAAACTAAGATAAGCAGCACCTCTGACCAATTATTCCAGCCTGGTTAAGTAAGTTTTTCTTATTTCTTTTTATGCAAATGAGAGCAAAAGGGAAGCAGAAAGTAAGGAAGTCCTGACCCTCACACTCAGTCAGAACACTGTACCACTCCCTGGCACAGAGTGGTCACGAGGAAGCAATGTCTCCCCGAGTGGAGTAGGAAACTGAAATTTTCAAAAGAGCCTGGTGATACAGAAGCTGCAACTCTGCGTGTTCATCCACCTAATCTCTACGCATGTCCAACCATCAGCCTCTTCATAATCACAGTCATCTAATGCTACACACATACCATGAACCCGGCATTTTGCACAGTGCTGCTAACTGTCACAACTAACTTTGTTACCCCCAATTTACAATTAAAAAAACCAAAGTTCAGAGAAGCTGAGTAACTTGCCCCAACACAGCTAGCAAAGAGTATGGACAGAATTTGAATCCAGGACCATGTAGACAGTTTCTAAACTCATACTCTTTCCATTTTCCATATTCTATACAAATAAAACAAAACAGGAGGCAGTGATCGATGGGAGACCAGAATTCCAATTGTAGCTTACCTGCCTCTCGTTACTACCACTACTAGTACTGCTCCTCCTCCTGACATTACTACTACGACACCGTCTGACACTTTCAAGAGACGGCTGGTTAGGAAGGTAAAAGCTACAGAGGCACAACTGCCTTCTTGACCTCTACCTCCGTCAGGTAAGTGGCTGTGCCCTCAGTTTAATGTATCTCAAAGTCCTGTGTGAGACAGAGTTCTGAGTGAGCACAGCTCGGGCTAACTAAATCCCTCAGGCGTTTGAAGTTCAGAAGCCGATTTAAAGTGAGCTGGTTTCTCCAACCTTCATGAGCGAAGGCGTATGGTTTCTGTCCTCTGGAGCATTTTCAGAGTCTTGACAGACTCCTTTGGAGGCTCACTCCAGGTATATTTTCTTTGGCACATTTTTCTGAAGAGAAGCCCCATCACTTTCATCAGATTTCTGAAGGTCTGTAACTCCTTAAAAAGTCATCACAGTTCCAAAGAATGGCAGAAAAGCACAGAATATAAGCCCTTTATTTTTAGTCCCTCCTATCCCTGATCTGCAAACTCTCAGTCTACCAGGTTTCCATTCCTGTCAGGAATTCAGTTACCAACAAAGGTTTCTGGGTTGAGGAAGGGTAATGAATCTGGGTAAGATTCTCCCCTAAGCACTGTTCCCAAGATAGATTTTGGACTGTCTTAGCCTATACTAAAACTCTAACACTAACAACAGAAAGTACTGCTCCTTTTCTTCCTGACACTTGCTCCTATTCCACAAATATATCCCCTCCTTTTGGGTGATCAAAGTGTGTTATTTACTCATAACATGCTTGAAGATGAGTCTGGAAAAATAAATCCTATTAATCCTAAGATTCTCTGTGTGACTATCATAAATTCTCTATCACAGATGCATTCAGGCATGTCTGCTAAGACTTCTACATTCTTGTTGCCAAGAAATTTGGAAAAAAAATACATATATGTATTTTACTCCAAACAAAGTTACAAACGCGCCTTTGTTTTCCGAGAATGCCGTTTTATTCACCTCATGGTATCCAATGATACAGGCTTACAAGCACACTTCCCTATGCTGGCCCTGTCTTCTCTAGAGGCAAAATGGAAAGGTATCAGCTTGTCCTTAAGGACCTCTGCTCTGAGTCACTTTTTATCATTTTCTTTTCTTTCCTTTACCATTTTGAAAGTATTTCCTAAAGCAACTTCAGTAATGAATAAAAATTAGTTCATTTTACCCTTTGGGGAAGGATTCAAAGAAATATGTTAAGTTTCGTCACGACCATGAGGTGAACCTTTAAACACCTGGGTTCACAGCAAATTCATGAATTAGGTCAGCCCCAGCCCCACCACCCCACCCCCTGCCACCATTCCCAATTTTTAAACATCTCTGATTCCTTGAAAATTGTGGCCTCTTTCACACTTACATTTTTCTTTGATCCTTTGCATTTGATAACACTTCAAGGAGAAAACAAAACTTTCTCTCTAGTTAAGGTGATGGTTTCTGGTCACAGTCTTTCATTTATTTATTTATTTATTTTCTTTATTGAGACAAGGTCTCATTTTGTAATTCAGGCCAGCCATTAACTGCCTATAGCCCAGGCTTGCCTTGAGCGTTTCTCCTGGCTCAGTCCCTAGAGTGCTTGGATTACATGTGTGCACCACCACACCAGACTGCCAGCTTCTGCAATCTGCTTTTTGGGATCATTCACCCTCCTCCCCTCGACCAGGCTGGGGTCAACGTCCTGCAGGGAAGACAGACTGCTGCATTTACCTGTTCTGCCCTAACGCAGGAACTTGCTGTTTCTCCGCTCTTTTCACACAGAAGTATCTGCTTATTCCCTTTGGTTTGCTGACCTCCTACTATACATAATTATTACTATTTCAGACAAGAAAACTAAAATCTGAAATTTTAAAAAGAAAAAGGGAGTAACTTTCTCTTGTAAGTCTGTAAGATAAATGTAGTAAAGTCATTTTGTGGCACTAAATGTGTACTGCTGCTTACTTTTGTAGTTTACCCTTTTATAAAATCTAATTTTAAAAAAAGGAAGACTTTACATAATTACTTGTTTTAGGGTTGAAACACAATGATTTTCCCCATTTATTAAATCCACCTAATAATACCCCACTTGAATGCACATGCTTACTCTCACACAGAAGCTGTACTTGCTTGACTGGCTCAGATGCCGAGCTGCTGGTCTCACTAATGAGTTCTACTGTCTCACCAGGAGGACAATATGCTCCTAACTACTGGACGCTGACACTAGCCCCAGCTGTGTGCTAGTGAAAGCCCACAAGTAGCATTTTTATTCTTAAAAAACAAAATAAAACAAAACCTTGGAAGGTAAAAATGCCCACATTTGGACTTGGAAGAAGAACTGATACATACTTCTGGTATCAGCCTAAATATAAAATTTCTTTTGAATACTGATCATTTCAGGAAACGGCGGGGCAGGGGTATATGCTACTCAAATGATCTAATATTGAAGTATACCCCCAGAATTTTTAAACTTATCTGGGATGAGGTCTTGCTGCGTTGCCCAGGCTGGGCCGGAACTTGGGTACTCCTGCCTTAATCTCCCAAGTAGCTGGGATTAACGGCATCCACCATCCTGCCTGTCTTGTATTTTATTTTTAATGTTCCCCTTACAATCCCAGAACTAAGATTAAGATTCTGTCATAATGACTTGGGGAAACTACAGTTTGAGCTTGAAATAAAAATAGTAGGAATATAGAAATATCTATAACATCAAAGATCAGGAAGACAGACCAATATTATTTGGGACCTTGACTTCATAAAATCAAGTAAACTTAGAACTTTTAAAAAAAAAAATCAATCTTTAAAATGGTACATCTAACTGGAAGATAGCCATACTAATGGTAATGTGCCCACCTATCAGTATCTGTAAAGCTAAGATATGCCAGTGGGCTGTCTAGAGAGGGAAGGAAGAATGACACTTGAAAAAAAATGCGAAGGGGTGAGTTCAGACTTACCCTTTTATTAAGAAACTCTATTCTTAGGAAATAGGTACCTTTTAGTGAATACCCTAAGAAGATATGCCTTACTTACAAATGAGAATGTAGATTTGAAGAGGTGAATTTTCCAATTCAAATTTACTTGTGGGAGAAAGGATAGAGACTATCACTTTATGGGATTCTACCCAATTGCCAGGGCAGCTTATCTGGGCTACAAGAAGACGGATCACATGGAAGGGTCTCATCTTGGAAACAGATCCTCACAGAAAGGAAAACTCAATTTTCCATGAAGGAAACAAACACAAATTCCGCTCCTCATTCCAAATACTCCCTTTCATTCAACTTTGGAAAACTGTGAACTCTTACTTTGCATCTCAATTCAAATAACCCAAGAGGATACATACTCTCTTAGTACTGGGTTAACTGTAGCTTATTAACTCAACTTACTGAAGAATTAAATCCAAAGAATAACTCCACATTTCACAGTCTAGCGGTAACAGCCAAGACAGTGTCCAAATTTAAAATCCTCTTCTCTCTGGCATTCAGCTGTGCACGCACATAAAATGAGAGCACAGACAAAACCTCTCCCCGGACACTTACTGTAAATACGGGAGCAGTATAAAACAAGAGCGGAAGAGGGGTCTCCTTTTTATCTCTCTGCTGAAGAATGAGTTGTGGAGGATGTAGTGGTTATTCCACATCATAAATCGGACCTCTGTCAGACCCCGAGAATTGGCTTCTTCAATCAATCGAATAACAGACTACAGAATAGAAAACAGAAGGTAAAGAAGAAAAACAGGTTAACAAACAATCATTAAATACAAAAATGTAACTAAAGGCAAAAATAGTAAACCTCACTGTAACATCAGAAGAATTTCAATAAAGTCCAGTAAGTCACATTAACTCCTTTTATGTGTTCCACATTTCTCCAAAAAATGCTCCCTGTTCAGATCATGGATATCTACCTCATGAAACGTGAGGTTCAGAATTACTGTATTCTATTTTCAACCCTAACAATGTCCTGGAGATTTTTTCAGTTTATATTTCTTAAAGGAGTCTTCAGAAGGCGAAGAATTAAAGATGGTATAAAATTAAACAACAATGAAAAACCAAGTTCTGAACCTGAGAAACAGAGGAGAGGATAAACTAAGTGGCAGTTTAAGTTTTCGGAGTATACATTTTAAACAGCTTCTTACTTTGTTTGAAAGACAGACTCTAGTGATTACTTAAGAGAAAGTTGGGTGTGGTGAGGTATGCTTGTTATCCCAGCTACTTGGGAGGCTGAGGCAGAAGGACCCTTAGAAGGCCAGTCTGAGCAGTTTAGTGAGACTAGAGTTTTGGGGTTGTTGCTCAGCGGTACAGCACTTGCCTAACATGCTCGAGGTCTTGGGTTCGATCTCCAGTACCACCCTCACTGAAAGGAGGTGGTAGTATTTAATACTGTATTTTAGAGCAATTAACATACTTGGTCAAACACTTTTGGTATCTTAAAAAAAAAAAAAACTGGTAGAATATACAAGCTCTCCCTTTTGTAATGCCAGAAATGAATTTAATCATATTGAAGAGGTGAAATTTTTGAAATGTGAAGTTAGTCTTGAAAGTTCATTTCAGGGTGTTTAACTTGATTTAGGATTGCCATTCAGAAGCAAAGTAGACCACAATTTTGAACCTTACTCTCCAATTGAGGAGCTAGTCTCAGAATAAGGATATATATGTACATTTCAGAACAAGGATACATCTGTACATATGACGAAATTCCTAAATAAATGGTTTGCCTGACCACATCTGAATAAACAAAACATTTTCAAGTACTTCTAGAGACCTGAGAGTGATTCTATTATGCTTCTGAAATGGTTAAGGGCAACACATACACAGGACCCAGTCTCCTGAAGCCCAAGGAGCCAGACACAGCCAAAAGTTAAATCAGTTCTCATCACCTTAAAATAATCCAAAGGTGAGGGCTGGGGCTATAGCTTAGGGGTAGAGTGCTTATGCAGTAGGTACAAGGACCTAGGTTTGAGCCTCAGCACCACATAAAGAAAAATTTAAATCAGAAAATTATTCCAAAGGCAGAGCCAAGCCTAAGTACTTCACCTCTATATACGGTAAGAGTCTTGGGAAGGCATTTTAGTTCTTTAATAATAGAGGTACTCTATTTATGGATTTTATATTAATGGAAAAAAAATTTTCAGAGAAATGGGAGAAGAAAGTTTTACCTGTATCAATTTTACATCTTCTCAGCTCTTTGTTATGATCTGTAGTTCTGGCTAGTCATTGTCAGAACGGAAGAATGACAGAATGTAGAAAAACAAAAACTTTAAATGTACTACAAAAAAAAAAGGAATGTGTAAATACCTCAGGATATTCTCTCCATCCAAAGTGTTCTCTACAGAAGAATTTCCAAACTGTATGATAAATAGAGTTGACATTGCTAGAGGGTGGTGTGGATAGCCTTCGGAGTTGATCAAATTCAGTTGTCTCATACACATTCATGGCATTCATATCTGCCCAAAATTCTTGTCCTCTAAAAAGACCAAGGAAAAAAACTGCTAAATGAATATATCTGAATACCATACATTAAAAGTATCTAGTATTGCCTGTTATAAAATTTTCAACACATGCTTTACTTGGAATAAAAGGTTGTTATTGATTGGCCGCCCTGCATCCATTTCCTTTCTTACTAAGACCAAAATTCCCAGGTCACGGAGCTATGGCAGAAACGGTATAAACTCACAGCATCCCTAGCCTAAACCAATCAGTGTAATTCCACCTTCCCTTCTCCACTGGGATGAGTTAAATCCTGCCTCAGCCAATCAGGAAATCAGACTAATTAAGTTGACATTTGATGTATACATCCGCCAGAGTGAAAAAAGAACTTTCCCTTTCTTCAGAGGTATCAAGTTACCTGGGCCAATAGAGGAAAATACAGTATTGCCTGATAAAAGGAAAAAAGGAAAAAATAAAATTACCCCAGATGAAGCCAGTACTGCTAACACACCCAACATCAGAATTACATTTTATTCTGTGAGTGGGCAAATGTTGGCAAAACAGAAAGAAGAAAAAGAATTTGTATTATGAAGAGTGTCAGTTATGAGACTATTTTGTCCTTTTGCTATGTGGTCTATCCACTGCTGCTGAATCAGCCCTTTGTAAACATCTCCATAGTTTGGGGGGAAGTCCTGCTATATGAATCAAGTTCATTTAAAAATTAATTGATAAAAGTGTGGTCCAATTAAAACATGTATTTCCTTTTAGATGAAACTTACTACCTAATGATGGAAACATTTGATGCATTATTTTAAATAACTGAAAATGTAAATCATTCTCTTTTATTTATGTATGTTTGAAAATTTCCCGAAGAAAATACAAAAATAAAACATGACATATTAGCAGAAAACCAAGCTCTTGAATTTCTTCCTTCATATTTCTCCCTACTTCCAGTGCAGACTTCTAAATAGACATCAATAAGACAAGAGATATTCCAGACACCGTAACATTCAGAACAACCAGTACTCTGAAATTCAAGCGTTGGGATAGATTTTCCCGGTAACTAACTTACTTCCTTGACATAAATTAGTATTTTGAAAAGGGTGTTAACTTTTACCTATTTGTTGGTTAGTACATTTTCCTAAATGCTGCTCTTGATAATTTGTTTCAAGGACTGTCAACAGCTATTAGCAAAAACTATGGCCAAATGTTTGAAAAATATGTTACACAAACTAAATTACTGCAGCTTTCCCTCCTTTAACATGGTAAGCACAAGCTGAAGTACTATGGTAAGTTTATGAAACATCTTTCCAAACCTATGGCAATGCTCTCACTTTGCTCATGAGTGCTTATTCAGATCTTTCAACATCAAGGAAAATGCATTTTCACCCTCCATCCTGATGTTAATAATTTGCCAATCAGGTTAGTCTATGAAAAAAATGCAAGCCATGTACCCAACTGAGGGATATATGAAAAAAGTACATAATCTGTAAAATCAGTATGTTTCTTTAAAATTCCTGACAATTTGCCCCCACATCCCAAATTTCTTGCTTAGAAAGAATATAAGTTGTGGCCTTTAAAATATGATATAATTTAATTAGGCATGAAATGGAAATAAGAATATCAAATGTAGTTTAAGATCACATTTAGTCACTTCTTTAAAAAGATTTATGATAAACAGTAATTTTTTGTGGGGAGGGTCTTTTTGAGACAGGATCTCACTATGCAGTTCAGGCTGACCTTGAACTTACAACGATCCTCCGGCCTCAGCACGATCCTCCTGCCTCTGCCTCCCAAGTGCTGGGATTACAGGCGTGTGCCACCACAACCAGCGATAAACAGTAATATTTAATTTAAAAGGAAAACTGGTTCTGAGAAATCCTAAAAAAAAGAAAAAACATCCCTGGAAACTGGAACTCTTCTGCCTAACTGAAACTCCCTATCAAACTGCCTTAAACAATCTTCATTTAAATTTAGGAGAATTTAATGTTATATTGAGAAGACAAATACAAATTTTTTTCTGTCTTAAGACCATCTGAAGTTCCTAAATATTTCTCCTTTAAGCTTACTTCCCAGCAACTCTCCCCAGTAATGAGTTAACATAGCCTTAGTACTTTCTTTAAGGAGTTTTTAGAAGAACAGACATTATGTTAACACGCATTAAGAAAGCCAGTAATTTTTACTGTGTGTCAAATTATTTTGGACTTCACTCTAGCAGTATCTGTGTGAACGTGTATTACTGAAACTTCAAGAGAATGATTTGCATGAAAAAGACATCTACAACTGCAGCTTTTGCTACATCCTCTGTGCATTTCAGTCCTTTGGGCATTATGAAATTTCTATAGCAAATTCTAATTTATTACAATCAATTGTTCTTTGGATTGATGTGTCAAAGTACCGTTTAGCTGTATTTGACTTTTTCTTTTTTCATCTTTTTGAGACAGGGTCTCACCATGCAGTTCAGGCCAGCCTTGAGCTCACTTTGTAGCCCAGGCTGGCCTCAAACTCACAGCAATCCTCCTGCCTCAGCCTCTTGAGTGCTGGGATTACAGGCGTGCACCATCACGCCCAGCTCCATATTTAATTTTTCAATATGCTTTTCTAGGCTTGAGAGGGAAAAAAAACAACAAATTTTAAAAATATTATCTATTATAAAATTAATTTTTACCACCTATTCTCCCTTAAACAAGGAATTCTTTAAAACTCCAAAGCCAAGAGTTTTTTTCCTCCACCATCTCTATCAGTATGAATGTGTGGAATACAGTTGCCAAATGTTCAACATCCACCCCTCTTCTTTATCAAACCATTGTTTCTCATTATCAAAAAGCAGTTATAAGTCATCTATGTGTGGTGATGGTGGGCTGAATTAGGCAATAAACAAAGAATCCAAAGGTTGTAGCCCTTGTTTTCTAAGGACTTCAAGACAGGAATAACTAAGACACAATCAAACCAAACAAATACTTTATCTGCCTAATCAAATTCATCAATGACAAATACAGTCAAGGGCTGAGAGGACAAAGAATAGACATGCAGCATTATGGGAGAGGAAGTGGTGAATGGCATCCAAGAATGGTTGAAGGTCAGGAAAAATAAAAGGCTTTATCAAAGCAAGATAACCCCATGTAAAAGAATTTTAGGAGTAGTTTAAGTAACAGGAAACATCAGTGGTGAGTAAAGGGTTGTGTTCAGAGAAAAACAACAAAAAAAAGCTCTCCAAGCACTTTGCTTCTTGGAAGGGAGCGGCTCACATAATTTGAGGAGACATTCTCAAGAGGGTACACAGGAGATGAAGAAATGTGAACCAGGATGCAACAGACAATGTGAGAGTTGTCAGGCGATGAGCTGAGAAGCCAGTTCAAGGGCTCAGAGCCTTAAAATATAAGGGTGGGAATATACTGTAGAGTGCTGCCAAAGGTAGGGAGAAAAGGTCAAAGCAGTAAATACAAAGTGTGTGAGAACAGATCAAGAGAATCAGTGCTAGAGGTGGGCAGATGGAGGGGGTTGTCTCTGTGAACACAAGGTACTATAATCTCAGTGTACGAGAACTTTACCTGGCCTAAAAACCATCCCTACAGAATGACAGAAGGGAGTAAGGGAAGTAAACACTATGTAGTAGGATTTAGCTTTTGCTAAATATATCATGTTGTTAAATCAATCACTATTACTATACCTAGTATATAACTATCATGAAAAAGAAAAAAGTCTAGATACTTTATAACAATGGTTCTCTTCTTACTCAACAAGTATTTTCATATACTAATTAAGTGAAAAATTTCCAACACATTACCAATGCAAAAAAGTGTTAACACCCACAAAATCAAAAAGTATGGCCCAAAAGCATTTTTTTCTCATTTCAGATGCTAGAAAGAAAATGAAGGGCCTACAATGCGAATTATGAACACATTTAAAACAGAATCAAAGCCAATAAACAGGTGTCAAGTGAAACAAATTAGAAAGTATACCATTTTTGCTCAGACACATAGTTCTTTTTTTTCTTGGTTTTTCTCCGGTACCAGGAACCGAACTCACGACCTTGCGCTTGCCAGGCAGGCGCTTTGCCACTGAGCTAAATTCCCAGCCCCTCAGACACATAGTTCTTGAGGTTATGCATTCGGGAACCCAGTAAAGGACAATAGGGAATTTTTTCTATTTATAAAGTTTTTGAAACCAAGAAGGCAATGTGACAATCTGTAAATTAGCAAAACAATCTTAACTAGATATATTGACTAGTTACTGGCTTATGCACTAGTGGTAAGATGAAGAAGGCAAAATGCCACAGAACACCAACGGGGTACAGCAAACCCTGCAGCACAGTGTGAAACATGGCCTAAAGGTGGTGTGGGGACAACTCTGGATGGATGAAATGCTAAATGCAGTCAGCCACCAGGCAGATCATGGGAGGCAGTACACCACAGGGAGAGTGAACAGTGTGTAGAAGTTAACCAAGCAAGGCACTAGAAACATGCAAGAAGCGCATGCAATTCGCGTGAGAGGTCAGGGTATGTGTGTGAGCGAGGTGCTAAGAGATAAGACTGGACTGGAGAGGCTGGCTGGGGCCAGATAATGAAAAGCTTTGCATGCTGGGTTAAGAGGTCAGGGTTTGATCCTGTGGGCAGTAAGAATCATTGATCCTGTGGGCAGTAAGAATCATTGATCCTGTGGGCAGTAAGAATCATTAGTGGATTTTTAGCAACTTACCTTTTTCCTAAAATTTTTTTTTATTAGTACACTTTTTTTTATTAGTACATGTACTCATACCGTTTACATTCTAGTATGCTCTCAAAAAAGTTAAAGTAATCATACCACAGTGATACGTTCAAGCCCATGATTATAGCAGCACAACTTGCCAACAGTGGTAGTATAAAGGACTGATTTATTTTCAGTAGGGGAGAATAAAGAGAAACTGGCACTTACTTACTAGGTATTTCTTAGCATATTTATGAATATTTACTATTCTATGCTTAGCTATTTATAGTTACTAGGTTGCACATGAGGCAAATAATGACAGTAGAGGCATTCAAGAGGCATTTGAAAGTT